GGAAAAAGATCACATTATTTGATCTGAATTTTTTTGAACTAATTTATTCTATCTTTTTTTTTTTTCACCTTGGGTGGTTTTTTTATTTGATTTAACTGTAAACTAGTTTTATATCTATTTATAAGAAAAATTGTATATATATATATATATTTTGTCTTTTCATGTCATGCATACTTTATATTCAACAGGGGACAGCCTCCGGATTATGTTCTGAAGGAGGCAAAACATACTAGCAAATTCTTTAAATTTATTGGAGGTTTCCATAATGAAATTGGTGATATTTATGGAAGTGGTCGAAGCAGTTTTCAAGCATTAAAAGCAGATGAATATGAAGCTGTAAGTGTACTTTTATTAGTTCTGCTGTTCCAATAAAATCAACTATTGCCAAGAAAATATATTGAGTACCAGAGATGCTTTTGCTAGACATTTTTCTGTCTAACCAATCTTTTCTTGATGATGCCTAGTAATTTAGATGCTCTGATTCCTATTCTAAATTTGTTCATTGTTTGTGTATACTGAGTCCCTACTTACTTGTTTACAAGTACACAGCTTTCAACCCCAACACTTGTGTCCATTTGTGCAATTGACTTGCTTTTTTATTTTCAGAGAGAGATGAAAAAGCCTTCAATTGGAAAAGAGTATTTCAATCGAATGAACCTCGAGGCAATTGTGACTAACTACCCTTACAGAAAGAACTTAGCTGAGGAAGATATTAGGAAAGGTAAGCCTTTCTGTGTCCTTAGCTCCAAACGTCTGTTTCTTAGCAACTTCTAACAGGGGTTAGTTACAATGTAATTTATTAACAGAGAGTCAAGTACGATTGGCCTTAATTGATTTCCTAAAGGGCCTTGTAGAGTTCGATCCTGCAAAAAGGTGGTCGCCTTTCCAGGTATTGACTTTTCCCCCGTGTAGAGTTTACCCAGTATTCAATTTACCTGAATAGTACATTTTATAACTAAAATGCAATAGACACTTGGATATTGAATCCATATGTGCATGCAGGCCTCCAAACACCCTTTTGTGACAGGAGAGCCTTTCACATGCCCATACACGCCTCCACCGGAGACCCCACGTTTGGTAAGTTGATTTGTTAAACATTAATATGATTATGAAGCTTTTAGGTTCATTTTTAAACTGCAAAATCTCAAACCATTTTCCTGTTATTGACTGTTATTGACCTGTTAATATTTTATCGTAATAAATGTTGATTCCATTGGAAAATTCGGTGGATTATTAGTTTTGTGGGACGATAGCAAGCTTAAAGTCCTGGAATATCTCAAAGGACACACTTTAGCCATAAAAGTTTCTTTTTAGAGCAAGACAATGGATGTAGGGAAATTCTTCTTTCCGAACCACATAAATCTTTGTGTCTCTTTGTTTAATTTTAGTTTGTGGGTATGTGAGTGCGATTGATTTTGCTTCCGCTTCCGCTACAATAATTGGGTATCATAGCATTTTTGGTTGTGGCATTCCGCTACAACAATTGGGTATCATAGCATTTTTAGTTGTGGCATTTCACTATTAACAATTGGTTTCATAACATTTTGGTTGTGGCATTTGGGTACAACAAGTGTATCAGAGCATTGAAGGTTGTAGTATTACGTACAACAGACAATTTGTTGGATAACTAATGTATATGGCTCAAATGACTCTAGAGAGTGTAAGTATTTATGGGTGAATTGAGGTCGTTATTCTCTTATTGGAACAAGCCTTGGCGCATTGATGGAGATTTCATATACCCGGTGTATTCATGAGAGATCTCCAATAGGAAGGGTTTCATACAATTTTTTTAAAACTTTAATTTTATTTATTTCTTTTCTCTCTCTCTTTCACAGCTTGTTTCACAAAGCATAAAGGTGGACAACCATCATCCAGGTGGAGGGCATTGGTTTGCAGCTGGTCTCTCTCCCAATGTGAGACTGCTGTCCCTTTACTACCTTGGTGGTCTTTCAAATTGTTTGTTATCATTTTTGCCAGATTTACTAAGTTTTTCTGATCTGAAGTACATATCTACTTCTATTCAGATTGCAGGTAGGAACAGAGTTCTGCAGAGCACCCCACATTTTCAAATGGTACCATATGTCCATGCCAACAGTTATGGCAGCGTTGGAAGTCATGGTAGCTACAATGAAACTATTGGGTTCGGAAACAGCTACGGTAGTTACGGAGACAATGGTATGCTTGCCTATTATTCACCTGTTGGTCCATCTGGAATGAATATGCATCCTCAGGGAAGGATATCAATGCGTGCAAGTAGCCCAGATACTCGGCAGAGGGTTTTCCAATTATCACATGGCAATGGGATTGGTGTGAGCCCATCAACCGGGAACTTTGCGCCACTGCCCCTAGGCACGAGTCCATCGCAGTTTACTCCACCGAGCAGCTATGGTCAAGTTTCAGTGGGCTCTCCTGGACATTTTGGGCCAACTTCTCCTGCAAGGGGTAGTTGTCAGGGATCGCCTTTGGGGAAAATGGCTACAGTCGGTCAATTTAATAGAAGGAAATTTTGGGATTACTCTGGCAGTCATGATGGTTCTTCATCTTCGCACTGGCAAGGTCAATCTACTGAAGGCACGAGTTACGGACTACAAGCAGATGGGAACTCTTTACATGGTTGCTCCCCATCTCATCTACCACCAAGTAGCAATGCCAGCAGCTGGAAGCAGCAGCATCAAGTAGGTAGTGGAAGCTCTGCTGGTTACCCTACCATTCAGAGTATGCCAGGAGCTCATTTGCCTGGTTCCAATATGCAATTTTCGCAACCATCGGACGTGGCTCGGAATAAGTCTGAATTGCCTGATCCTGGAGATTGGGATCCCAATTATAGGTTGGTAAACTTTCACATATGCATTGGTAATTATCTGTGCGTTCTTATCTGCATGGCAATTAGTTTATGCTTTTGATTTTAAATCCTATATAGTCCAGTAGAAGGTACAAAATCTGGTTTGGTTCTGGAGAGTAGTTTTAAAAATCCACTGTTACCACCTAACCATAACACTTGGTTCTTGTTTTTGTTACAGATTTTTATTTCCCATTTTATTATTATTTCATGTATATTGGTGTCGGACACATGCCAAATATGTCTTAGCTTAGATAACTCATGAAGCTTTAACGTGGTACGGTTTTTGTCGGTTCAGTGATGAACTACTCCTCCAAGATGATGGGGATTCAGATGTCAGCAGCATTGCGAGTGAGTTGAGCAACATGCATGTGGGTTCATCTAATCCATCGATTGGGATTGGGATTGGGATTGGGATTGGAAGATTTCGTATGCCAAGCGCTAATTTGAATGTAACCTCACAAAGGTAGGCATCATGTGCTTGTTCACTTGTTGTTGAGACGTTCATAAGTTGTTACTTGACGATGGTACATGCGTTACAATTTCAGAAAAAGTGGACATGTCCAAGAGATGGGAAGCCCGCCCTCAGGTCAAGATTTGTACACCGGATATGGTCGTCCCTCGTCGAAACATTCCCATTTCATGGCTCATAGTTCACACAATTCCCCGAGCCGTTTGGGGCAGCAGCCTGTTGAGCGATGGAAGGAAGGGAGAAGTAGGAAGGTCGGAGGAGGTTACGAGTGGAACCCGGTGAAGATCCAACCGCCTCTTGCGGGCTATAGTTCTGGAGGCCCTGGTTCTCCCGGAGGAGGAGGAAGTGGTGGTGGTGGTGGTGGTGGCGGCGGCTCGTTCAGGAGTAGGAGTGGGATGTCATGGGGTAAATATGATGGTGATGATGCTTTGAAAACCACAGTATATGGTGTGAATGTGAATGAATGAATGAATGATTTTAATTTTAATTTTGAAAATGGTTATTAAGAAGATGTGTATGTGTGGTTCCTCCACCATCCTGCGTAACAAAACACTATGGGAGGATCATACTATACTATACTATACTATTTCCCACCACAATTGTATTGCTATTTCAATAAATTTTCAACCTTAATTCTTTCTTTGCTTCATACTATCACCGATCTCGGATTCCATTGATTTTGTTGTTTTGATGAGAGTCGTGAGACAACTTGTCCATGTATCATGAACCAGTCTCTACTCTGCACCAAACAAGACGGAAAAATATTTGCAATATTATCCTTTAACGCTTTGTTTAGAAGTTGTCCAATATCCTAACCAATAATTTCGATGTCTTTTGGTGGGTCCACGAGAAGTCTTCTTTCTACATTTTGTGTGACCTTTTGGTTCAGTTCTTCATCCACGTCCTTTCCAAAATGAAAGTGTGGGTGTGTGTTATCTATGATGGTGCTACTCCATTCTTCTTTCTCCCCAGTTTCAGCCAATGCCTGCATCTGTCTTGTACTAACTTTGATGCTCCAATTCCCAAGGCTTTTTACAACATGACTTCCTTGCAATTCCCAGGCCTTGCAGCAAATCAGTTCACTTCCATTGATGGTGGAGTTTCATCCTTCATATTTGGAAACAATTGTATCCTAAAACCACTTCATTGATTTGATTTTATTCAAAGTTTTGTTCGGAAGAAATAATTTTTTTATTTTACAACTTGTGGGGCTAGAATTTAATTCTCGAGATGAAGCAATGAGACAACTTGCTCATGTGTAATGAACTAGTTGCTGAAAGAGACAAAATTAGTTGACTCCAAAGCAAGTCGTTAGTTGACTCCAAAGCAAGTCGTTTATGTCATATTGTTGTGAATGTCATTTCATTTATTTCAAATTTCTCTTTTTTTTTTTTTTTTTAAACAATATTCTCATAAGCAATTTTACTCTAACATTTTTACTATAAAATATGTGGGAGGAGATTTAAAATATTTTACTATTTTTTTTTTATATAATATCAACAAATAAAATATCATTTGAATTTGGTTTTTTATTTATTTAAAAAAAAAATTAAAAGTAGGAGGAAAATGATTGTAGGTGGGCGTTGTGAGTGAAATGTAGAATACTTGAAGGATATCAAATTAATTTTTCAATTCTATGAACAAGAAAATTTGGGTTAAAATTCCTTTATAAAGAGAACCACCTCTGTACTTCTTTTACATTCTTTTCAAAATGAAGGAAGTTTCATTTCTATTACGTGTGTTCTCCATGATGGTGCTACTCCGATTCTGTTTCTCTCGGGTTTCAGCCATAACCTGCATCCAAAAGGAGCGAGAGGCCCTCCTCCAATTCAAAAAAAGTTTTGGGACGGATCCTTTTCGTCTATTGGCTTCCTGGAGTGGAACGAATTGCTGTAATTGGTATGGTGTGGGCTGCAATCAAACTTCGGGACATGTTACTATGGTTGATCTTCGAAACAATTGGTTAGAGTTGTCCACATCTTTCTATATCCATTATCTTGACTCTAGTTTACTTGAGCTCAAATACTTAAATTACTTGGATTTAAGTGGGAACAACTTTGATCTTACTCAAATCTCAAACGTGTTGGGTTCTATGGTTGAATTAACATATCTTAATCTTTCTAACTCAATCTTTGATGCGAAAGTTCTTCCTCGTCAGTTGGGAAATCTTACTAAATTGGTTGTTCTTGATTTATCAAATTATTTCTTCTATAACAAGTACGCTGGATTGAAGGCACTCAATCGCGATGTTGAATGGATATCGCACCTTTCTTCCTTGCAGTTCTTTAGCTTGTCTGGTAAGGATCTTTCAGAGGCTTCCAATTTAATGCAAGTGTTAAGTTCTCTTCCGTTATTGTCATCCTTAATATTGACTGATTGTAGCCTTCAAAACAACCAATTGTCTTTCGGTTCCATGAATTCTTCGTTTCTTTCTAGAATTCAACATCTAGATTTGTCTAGCAATAACTTTCATGGTCCAATTCCTAAGGTTTTTCACAACATGACTTCCTTAAAATTCCTAGACCTTTCGAATAATAAGTTAACTTCCACTTCCATTGATGGTGGAGTTTCATCCTTCATACTTGGAAACAATTGTATCCTAAAAGCACTTGATTTATCGAACAACTATGATCTTGGTGGAGATGTGTTTGGAAGTTATGAAAATGAATCTATGGCTTGTCGTCGATATGATCTGCAAGTGCTTAAACTAGAGGGTACATCTCTGAAAACCAAAATTCCAGATTGGTTAGGAAAATTCAAAGACTTGAGGTCTCTTTCCCTTTCTTCGAGTCACATTTATGGTTCAATTCCTGCTTCACTTGGCAATTTATCCCGACTTGAAGATTTAGATCTTTCAAACAATGCTCTAACCGGAGCAATTCCAACTTCATTTGGAAGATTATTAAATTTGAGAATATTAATTCTCGAATGGAATAGATTGGAGGAGTTGGGGCAGGAATGTTTTATCCAACTTCAAAATTTGGAGGAGCTAGACATATCAAATAACTCGCTCAAAGGCGTTCTTGAAGAAGCTCATTTTGCGAATCTCTCTCAGTTGAATTTTTTATTTATCAGCTACAATGAGCATCTTTTATTGGACGTGAAGTCTAATTGGGTTCCACCTTTTCAATTAAGGTTTCTTGATGCAAGTTCATGTATTGGTTGTTTTCAAGGTGCGTTCCCTGAATGGCTTCGAACACAAAATGCATTAGTTCGTTTGTGGTTGTACAATACAAGTATCTCAAGTGCTTTTCCAACATGGTTGAGAGCTCAAAATCTCATCATTTTGGATCTTTCCCACAACCAAATTGTGGGGCCAATTCCTACGAGCGTGGGGGATCAAATGCCCAATTTGCGATTCTTGTATCTCAATCATAATCTTATCAATGATTCTTTACCCCTCTCATTTTGCAAGTTGAAGATTTTGACTGAAGTGGATCTTTCAAATAATGAGTTTTCAGGAATGGTTCAAGGTTGTTGGCTGACTTCAAACTTGATGTATTTGGATTTGTCTTCGAACAACTTTTCAGGAACATTTCCATATTCCCATGGAAATCTTTCGAGGGTTGAAATGTTGAACTTGAGAAGCAACAAGTTTGAGGGGTCCATGCCAAGTGTCTTGAAAGATGCTAGAGATTTGAATTTTTTAGATCTTGGCATGAATAAATTCTCTGGAAACATCCCCATGTGGGTGGGTAATAATCTTGGAGATTTGAAATGTCTGATGCTACGAGGTAATTTGTTCAATGGTACCATTCCTTCAAGTCTCTGCAATCTCACATGGTTAACCAATTTGGATCTTGCACATAACCAATTAGAAGGACCTATCCCACAAAATATTCGCAACTTTTATGCAATGACAGAAAAGTTATATGCTGGCTTTTCCTTCTCTAGAGAGGCAGATGTTGCCTTTTCCGATTATAGGGAGAAAAGTATAAGTCAGTTCATCAAATCTAATGAATTAGATTACACCATGAAGCAACTAGAACGGATGGTGAATATAGATCTCTCTCATAATTATTTGGTCGGTTCCATTCCAAGTGAGATATCAAAGCTTAAAGAGTTGGTTGGATTGAATTTGTCCCACAACAATCTAACAGGGACAATTCCTGCTGAAATAGGAGAAATCGAATCGTTGGAATCACTTGATTTATCTTTCAATCAACTTTCCGGGCCAATTCCCAGGAGCATATCAAGATTAAATTCATTAGGTGATTTGAAACTATCTCGCAACAATCTCTCCGGAGAGATTCCTCAAGAGGGTCATCTTTCCACCTTCAATGAGGCTTCAAGCTTTGATGACAATCCTTATCTCTGTGGGGATCCACTTCCAAAGAAATGTACAACTGAGAATTCATTTGAGCCGTCGTTCACAAACATCGAGAATCAAGATGAAGAGGAAGATAAATGGGATAAGTGGTTGCTTTGTATCGTGATAATACTTGGATATGTGGTTGGATTTTGGGGAGTTATTGGAGTTTTAATGTTCAAGAGGAGTTTGCCTACGAGACTAAAGACAAGATTCATACAACAATCCAATGGAGCGTAGAAGGATTGAAAGGATTCTGCATTCACAAATGAATAATAGGTAATAAAGTTCTTATTTTATGGTTGACATGTTTTCATCTTCCGTCGCTATTGATGTAATCCTTACTATCTTAAGTATGCCATTGTGCTTAGCTGTTTGTGCTCATTTGAGGACGGATGAATACTAAAAAGTCATCTTTATTAGGATTAGGAGGTATATTCTAAAATCACTAACATCACATTTGTAAATGTATGTTTCATACCTTCTACTTTCAAATGTTATTATAAACTGTATCAGCATGATATCATAGTATTTATATTTATATTGAAGTTAATAGATGATATTTCTTTGTATTTTATGGGTATTTATTAAAGATTTAAGAGAGATATCGATGTCAAAACCTTCAACTTATTGATATATATCGATGTATATCACCATATAAACCTTATATTTTAATCCTTGAGAATAACTAACGACACTAAGAGGAGTCGACCGAAAAGCAAGTCTTTGGTGGGTCGTCTTCTTCCTAATATTTTTGGGTCTATTTCTTCCCCAATAATTTTCTTTTTTTCTTGGCCTATCATTCTCAAAATTAAACATGAAGGCGATGGAACATAATTGAAGACTTTTTTATCAGAACAATTAATACTTCTCTATTTTTGTAATTAGAAATTTATAAAAATTAGTTATTTATATCTCGAAAATTATTACTTTATTTGATAATGGGTCGGAAATGGCTGAAAAAGCTATGAACCCTTTCTTGGTAGAAGTAATTCTTTCTTGGAAAGAAGCCATTTCGATACTAAGAGGAGGTTGATAACCCAAAATTGAAGATATTCTACCTAGTAACGTGGATACCTCGAACCCTGCTCGAACAAAACGAAAGATTTTATCGATAAATAGAAGCACGTCTTATTCATTAACATCTTGAAAATATTCTGCCATAGTTGGGCCAATTTGAATTTTGCACCTTCTAAGGAAGGGTTTTGCAAGAAAATATCTCAAAAATTATTGCAAGTAAATGAAAGGTTCTCAATTAACAATACATTACCAACACTTTAAATTAGTCCAAACGTGATTGAAACAAATTTTTCCCTCCTAATTTTTGCCTAACGAACTTGATCGTTTGCTGATTTACGTTCGCTCTGATACCATGTTAGACGAACACGACTCTCCACAATGGTACGATATTGTCCACTTTGAGCATAAGCTCTCATGGCTTTGCTTTGGGCTTCCCAAAACGCCTCATACCAATGGAGTTAGTATTCCTCACTTATAAACTCATGATCATTCCCTAAATTAGCCGATGTGGGACTTTCATCATCCAACATCTCCCCTCGAACAAAGCACGCCTCCCCTTAATCGAGGCTCGACTCCTTTGGAGTCTTAGTCATTTTTGACTGCCTTCGTACCTTCGAGGAGGCTTGACTCCTTTTGGAGTCCTTTGTTCGACATTTAAGGATTTGTCAATCTATTGGCACGGCTAAGTTTAGGGCATGACTCTGATACCATGTTAGACGAACACGACTCTCCACAATGGTATGATATTGTCCACTTTGAGCATAAGCTCTCATGGCTTTGCTTTGGGCTTCCCAAAAGGCCTCAGACCAATGGAGAGTGTATTCTTACCTTATAAACCCATGACCATTCCCTAAATTAACCGATGTGGGACTTTCATGTTAGACGAACACGACTCTCCACAATATTATCCTCTTTGGGTTTTCCCTAGCTTATAAATGGTGGTTTGTTTTCCAACCCAACCATGGGCCAACCAATGTGGGACATCACAATCCACCCCCTTTCGGGGCCCAACGTCCTCGTTGACATTCTTTCCTTCCTCCAATCGATGTGGGACCGCCCCCAATCCACCCCCTTTCGGGGCGTCCTTACTGGCACACCGCCTTGTGTCTACCTCCTTCGAGGAACAGTGAGAAGGCTGGCACATTGGCCGATGTCTGGCTCTGATACCATTTGTAACGGCCCAAATCCACCGCTAGCATATGTTGTCTTCTTTGGGCTTCCCCTCAAGACTTTTAAAACGCGTCTACTAGGGGAAGGTTTCCACACCGGTGGTTTATTCTCCTCCCCAACCAATGTGAGACATCGCAATAATAATATGGATAAAATGATTTTTTGTTAGTTCAATAATATGTAGAGTTAGAAGTTTATTTTCGAGAGAAAACTGGAGACAACTTGCTCATGTGTCATGCATTAGTACGGAAGAGACTTCATTAAAATGACACGATAAATATTTTTCCAAATCGAAAAATTATTTTTCAATAGATGACTTTAGTATCCCATAATATTTTTCTATGGTTTGTGTTATCGATGATGGTACTACTCCAATTTACATTTTCTTAAAGTAAAGAGACTTCTTCCACTATGTTGCTTCGCTCATGTGCTATTTTATTGTTTAGATTCGTTGGTTGATGTTTTCCAATGGATCAGTCGAGTAGGGTTCAATTCTAAAGTGTTCACACATAATCACGGTCGTAATTATGTGTGAACACTATCTCGATTGATATGAGATATTTTAGTAAAACTAAAAGCAAAGTCTTTAGAACTTATGGTTAAAGTAGGGAGTATCGTATCATTGTAGAGGGTTCGTTGTTCCTATCAGCGTTGACATTTATTATAATGGATGTATGACCATGATTGAAATATGTGGTGGGATGAAAACCGAGAAGCCTTCTCCATCTCTCAAAACATCGAAACAAAGAGGGAATAGGGTTAGAGATTTTGAGTTTCATTTAATAAAATCATAGGATGAAAGTGTATTACTATATACATTTTTACATGGTGTTTGAGGATCAACAACTTTGACCTGCCTACCACGAATACAAATTATGTACAATAATCTTACACCAACCTAACTTTCTTTCACCATATTCAACACATCATCATGGAGAAGTTGTAACAAAATCCTCTCCCGGGACGAATCACACTATGGAGGAGCTCTTTGTCTCCCCGAACCCCTCGAAAAAAAAAGGGAAAATTCACTAACGACCACCATTCAGATGCAGCGTTCAAAACCTTCTTATGAACTAAACATGGGCTAAATACAATGGGACCTACGATTGCTGCTGTTGTTGTTGTCGTCGTTGCATATGCTCACACTTCAAGTACTGGACCCCTGGTTGTAATCCTTCCTCTCGATCTTGACTCCTCGATCTTTTCGTTCACCTCAGCGATTACAAGCTTTGTCAAAAACAGCCCAGCTATTAGAGCTGAGATCATCAGCATTACGAACACCAAACTCCAGCTTTTAGTCGATAAATATCCCGTCAACAAGGGTCCAATCGCAGCCCCAACCGAGCCAGTACCATCGATAATCGCCGTCACAGTAGCAAGCGCCCGAGAATTCCCGTTGAGTGAACTGTGGGTTCCCAAATCAGCAGAGACGGCGGTTGTTATAAGAGCATATGGGCCATTGACAAACATGCCAGTGATGAACATGAGAGCTACATTCATGGTTATGGAGCTGTGACCGTAGTTTCTATAGCAGTAGAGAGCAGGAATGGAACAGTACATGAAACTAGCAGCTGTTATGGCTCTAGCACCTAAGCGATCAGAAATATGGCCAGCTAGAATTCCTCCTATTACTCCTCCCATATCAAACAATGTCGAAAGGTTCCCGGCTGTGGTACTCGACAGATATTTCCCGTCGATAACTGCAAGAACATTAACAACAAATCAGGTTCTTCATAGAAACGTGTCGAGTAAGATATCAGCAGCAATATTTATCATTTCAAACAGAAGCTCCTATCTTTGATTGTGTTATAGATGTCACAAGCAAACAACAAACAGAAATGCAGCTCACCTGTGTGGCTAATGTAGAAAGGGAGCCAGTAAAGGAATGTATAAGCCACCAGTTTGGCAAAGAAGAGGCAAAATGCAAAAGGTGCAACACCAGGAATTCTCCACGCTTCCATAAAACCGACCGCATTCTCGATCTCTGATGCTGATTTCAATAGAGGTACTGTAGTTCCCTCTCCAACTTTCTTGAGAGAGCTCAAGCCATCTCCTTCTTTATCGATTCCAACCGACTCGGGATTCACAGGAAGAAACAGAAACACTACCAAACCTGATAACGCAATGATCAGACCAGGGACAACCAATGACCAACCCCAACCATAGCTCAACAAGGCTGATGCAATCAGTGAGCCAGAAATGTTGCCAACAGATGTGTGAGCATTCCATATACCCATTATTAGTCCCCTCTTGCTCTTTCCAAACCAGTTACCGATCACCGCAACGACCGAAGGCCAGCCGGTGGATTGGAACAGACCAGCAAGCATTTGAACTATCAAATAGTAACAAAAGACATGGATGTTTGCCCAATATCCTACTCCAAACAGCGAAGTAAACAGACCAGTTCCCAACATTCCCACAGTTAAAAATATCCTCAAATCCGTTCTATCTCCCAATTGGCCTGAAAAGTACATCCCCCCAGCATATACACCTAAGAAAGCCAAGTCAAGCTCACCTAGTAAAGATGTCCCTTCTACTGCATCAAATGGATCCCAACCACCACTAGACAGCGACCAAAGATTGGTTCTCTCAACCCGTGTACTCAATCGTCTCGTACTTGATCGACTCGTATTCCATTGGTTGAACTTGGAGCCTCCATCAGGAGATAGCGGATCAAGAGCACTCTTGATAATGCTCGTAGTTTTTCGAGAGGCATGGTAATTAGCATATGCCAAGAATGTCACAAGTAGAACAGTGGCTTGATGTGCCTTATACGAAAGAGGCTTTTTCCTAATCCACTCTAGAAATCTTATTCCATATGGCTTCCTGTTATTTACATCGCTTTCTGATTCTGATAATGACCCCATGAGAACGAAGAACAACACTAATTTCCTCTACAAGTGAAATCTACAGAAATAAATTACAGAATGTTATATTAGGCAAGAACAGAGCATTCTAATTCAATCAATAATTTAACGTGGATTTAGGTTAAAAGCCTCAAATATCAACCGGAGCTTCTCAAAATCGAACCCGCGAAGATCTTATGAAAACCAAATTCAGAAACTAATTTCTCAACATGTGTGGCTTCCAAAACCTTGCTAATTCGATTAACTTCACGAAAAATCAAAAGAACACAATACTAACTTCCATAAAACCAACATTCAGATAAGAAGTCGTTCAAAATCTCATGAAAAAACGAAACTCCGTCTACGAAATCGATGTTTGGATCAACAGAACAGCAGAAACAACAGCATCGAACAGAAGAACTCAAGAGAACCAAAATTTTACACGATTTGACTAGAGAGAAAACATTGTGTAGAAACACAGCAAACCTTGTTAGAAGCGAATAAATTTTTATGGGGATTGTGTTACGTTATCTTCAAGCTCTTGAAATCCAAATTTCTCTCTCTCTCTCTCTCTCTCTCTAAAAAATTTCAGTTGCCCTGTTTCCAGGATTCATGAACGAACAGGGTCGCTTCTCCGTGCTCCCTCCTTTCATGGTAATGGAAATTGAGGGGACTCTTAATAGCCGATGAGGATATGAAATTACCGTAATGCCCTTTCCTCGTTTTTCCAAAAAAGCATATTCTATTTCGATTTGGCCTCTGAAATTCATGCCCATTGGACCGAAATGCCCCTGCTATTTTTTCTCGACCATCAAAGTTTATAGGAAATAGTAATTTAAATAAATAAAAATCAACCGTCCTTAAATTTTAAATATTTTTTTTTTATTAATTTCTATTTATTATTTTTGGAATAATTTCTGTTCAACAAACTTAATTCTTGAATATAAATCAACAAGATTTCTTTTCCTTTTTTATTTTAATGAAAATAATGTTTTTTTTAATATATTTTTTAAATATCACCATTTATATATATATATTAGTACCCCATCTTATTGCATATTTGACCATATAAACCATTTTTATTTCCTCTAAAAATAAACTATATTTACGAGCATTAACTCATTGATTTTGATTTAGTTTATAAAATTAGGTCTATAATACCGATTAAAAACGAATTGAAAATACCAAATTAAGAAATAAAGTCGCTAAAAATAAAGAAAGGAATATTGTTCTTTTAGGACCAAATTGCTCCGATGTGAAGTATAAAATTTGGTGTTCATCCCTCGAATACGTATAAGTAACACCTAAATAAAATAAAAAAAAGGTACATGAATGAACCGAGATTACATCTAAATAAACACATTTTAAGGATAGGAGGGTTAAAAATGCTTAAAATATTTGCTAGTGATATTGTTCTCAAAGCTTTAAAACGTGTCTACTAGGGAGAGGTTTCCACATCTTTATAAAGGTATGAAGGTGTTTCGTTCTCCTCCCCAACTAACGTCAGACTCTTGATTAAAAAAAATTTAAAATTATCTTTTTATTTTTAATTTTCAACTTTCTAGAAAAAGAAATGGGAATGATTCTCTCTTATCGTGCAACAATAAAATAATTGAATGTATTATCTTGTATTAAAAATTGGATCAAATAATTTCAAATATAGTTTGTCCATATTGTATACCATATGCTTAGCTTTATATATATATATATATATATATATATATATATATATATATATATATATATATATATATATATATATATTATGAATTATACAATTAATGGTGATAGAGATAGGCTTGGTTTCGTCCATTTTGTTGAGCCTTTCCTTTTTTCATTTCAAAATTCAAATTTCTCAAATTAAATTATAAATTTACTTTTTAAAAAATTATCTTTATTTTAAAAAAAAAATCTAATTGGTAGTTGTTCGGCATTAAAAAAAGTAATAAAGATTCTAAATCAAATGGGTTTGGATCTGTCTCTTCATTTGAAATATCTGTAATAGGATATGAGACTCAATATTGATATGAAAACGTTGAAGGAGCGTTCCTTAGTAAAAACGGGGACTACTTCTAGTAAATATTAGCTATGGATCATGCCCATAATCATAAGGGCATTTCAATATGGAGTTGGGTCGTCGAGTTTAGTGATAGCTTTTGTTATTAGTAAAGGGAACTGCAATTATTGATCTTATTTTATTTCAAGTACGCACATGGTGCTTACAATGTCTGTGTGCAATATTATAACCAAGAACACTACAAAACAAGGATGAGTTATATGTATATAATAGTAGAAGGCAATAAAGTCAATCGAACATAGGGAAGAAACATCTCGTGATCGTCGATAAGCTTTGCATCCAAACGTTCGAGACTCTTGCTATACACGAGTGTGGCTAGCCTACGAATTTGCCACTTTGGTAACGGTTTTTAGGTATTAGTCGATTGTATACAAAATTATACATGAATGGGTAAGCTATTAGGTTATCTCTTATCAGGCCCTTGTCTTGTTGTCAGTTGGAAACTTTGTGATATCCCACATTGGTTGGGGAGGAGAACGAAACACCCTTTATAGGGGTGTAGAAACATTTCTCTAGCAAACACATTTTAAAGCTTTGAGAGAAAGCCCGAAAGAAAAGCCCAAAGATGATAATATCTGCTAGCGGTGGACTTGGGCTGTTACAAATCCGCTCCTGAGTCGTTGCTTTGTTGTGTACTTTCTAACATCTATCACGATAATATCGATTGTAACAGCCCAAGCCCACCGCTATTAGATATTATCGCTTTTGTCCGTATTGCTGTCAATCTCAAAACGTGCTTGTTAGGAAGAGGTTTTCATACCCATATAAATAATGTTTTGTTCTCCTCTCCAAACGATATAGGATCTCACAATCCACTCTTCTTCAAGGTCAAGTGTCCTCGCCGGCACTCGTTTTCCTCTTCAAACGATGTGAGATCTCACACCAATCTTCTCTAGACCAATTGGTAGAGGACCTAATTAGTTGTAAACGCCGTGAGGTGCTGCTCTCAATCACAAATGTGTAATCTTCTTCAAGACCAAGTGTCCTCACTGACACTCGTTTTCCTCTCCAAACGATGTGAGATCTCACACCGATCTTCTCTAAACTAATTGATAGGTCAGGACCTAATTAGTGTGAACGTCGTGAGGTGCTGCTCTCAATCACGAACGTGTAATTATTGAGGCTTTATATGTTGACGTTGATTAAAAATGTCGATGAAAATAACGATACGTGAGTGGGCCCTTAGAAAGGGAAAGGAGTTTGAATGAAGAAACAAAATCCATTGGACCGCCATGCTCTTACGACAGTGCCCCTTCCCCAACAAAACATCAAACTTGGGCAACAGAAAAACCGAATCCCAATCCAAGAGGGCACTGCTATTCTCACGCTAACAGACACGCCTGTCTTTATCAATCCCAACCAAAACTCCCCCATCACCCCCACTGGGGCCCACACCATATATCATGCTTAATAATTTCCATCTCTCACCCTACACTCCATCTCTCACCCTGCTATTCTCACGCTAACAGACACGCCTGTCTTTATAATTTAATTCTAATATGTATATTTTGATAAATTATTTTTCAACACTTAAATTTTAATTTTTAAAGTTATTAGTAAATAAATAAATTAATTTGCTTTTAAATATATATATATATATTCTAACAAAAAAAAAATTGTATTTTTTAAATAATTAATTTTTGGAGAATTATTATTTGAATTTAACTCAATCTAATTAAGTTCATAATCCAATCAAAATCGTACGCGTCGAATTGGGTTAAGTTGATCAGGTTATTCGAGTCATCTAATTTTTTATATTGAGATTTGAATTTTCAAGTTCACAAGAATGATTACACATTAATTGTTTGTATTTAATTTTGTATTTAAAAGATTAAAAAATATTAAACATTTAAAAAAAAACATAAAATTGCATTTTTGTTTTTAATACAATATTAAGCTTTTATTTTAATTTTTTGTTTATTAATTTCCTAAGTTTTTAAAATAAAATTAAAGGTCAAAGAATTTGTAAGTTTAGATAAACATAAAATTAAAAATTAAAAATTAAAAATTAAAAACTATTAATTTTGAGGCCTCAACCAAAAGAAAAAAAAAATCGGCCGAGGATATTTTGGTAAAAAAAATCTAATGTCAAAGTGGTAAATAAGAAAGTTGGAGAGGGGTAAAAAGGTCATTTGGAAAATAAGGCAGTTTTAATTAATATGAAGCCTGCGGCAACGCATATTCGCATATGGGGACGGAATAATTCCTTGACAAGGCGAGGAATATCCGCCTCAATTGTTCGCCGATGGGGCCCAAAGGGATTTTGCTGACCTGTAACTTTTCGTGGCGTTTATTAAACGGAGGGTGCTGAGCTGGCCAAAGTAAGCCACGTGGACCTCCAAATGGAGTGCCAACTGCCAAAGCAAAACGCTAGCCTACGGGCTGCTGCCCGTCTCCTTCCATTTTTTTTCCTTATAAAAGCGTACTAATTTTGTATTTAATATATTTATTACTAATTTAATTTTTTTTAACAAATGTAAAAAAATATATATATATATATATATTATTAATATATAAAATTTGTGACTTTTTCATTTTTTTTGTTTAATAATTTTGTAATTTTTTTTTTTAAATTATCAAATATATTAGAAATTAAAAGCTTTTGAAAATTTGTGCCTAAACTATGCCTTTTCCTTTCATCCCTTGAAGGGTTACTTTTAATAGAAAAAGGAAGGTTTAAATTCTTGACATTAGTTAAATTTATGTTGAATATCTCCTTAAAATTGATGGAGGAACTATAAATACAAAATAATAATAATAATAATAAATAAATAAATATTTAGAAATAAACATGTATGCAATTAGGTTGCTTTTTTTTTATATATATATCAACCATTGATGCAACAAGTATTTTCTTACATGTCTTATCTAAGATGAGACGTTATATAGCTCAAATCACTCTACATTAAGACGTAGAGCTCAAAGCTCCACAATAAAGAACACCCCTCTTTTGAGCCATTGCTCTTAGAAAAGAAAATATGAGAGAAAGATAAGAACAAAAATTTGGTGTATTTGTGGTCGGTAAGAGAGGTATTTACACTTATCCTCTAGTACAAATCAACCAAACATTATCCTCGAGTTGAAGTAATTACGTTAGGGTTTAGATGAATCGAGAAAAGGCTTAGCAATTCCAATCAACCAAACATTAGCCTAATTTGTAGCTAACTTAGCAATATTAATAATGAACAAGATGACATTTGTGTTAATTATGAGTTTGCTATTTGAATGAAAGAAAGAAGATATGGAGACAAATAATAGAGGGCAATTGGATAAGTGTATGTATTTTCTTACCCCTTAGAAGAAAGAAAGAATGGTAGAGAAACAATGAGCAATCTTATCAAATCAACGACCAATCTTTCTAAGAAGCTTCAACCAAGTTTCATTTTTTATTTTCAATTTTTCTATCAACTTTGGTTTCTTCCTATTCAGAAGCTTCAAGGAAGTTTCACTCTCCATGTCTTTTTTTATGTCTTTTTTTAGCAAATATGATTGGGCTTATATTTTCATGAAATAAAAAATAAAAGTGTAAATGAATAAATCATAAGGATTTTATTTGTTTCTTTTGTGTTGGGTCATTATCATTATCTA